ATATAAATACTGCAAAAGCAGATTTGTTACTACCCCTCATCACTCAGCACCTGCAAGTTTACTCCAAATCCCAAAATACATTGGAATGGGAGCTGGATCCTGCAGGAGAGCAGTAGGGCACCATCCCCATCTCCAGGGACCAGGCTGGGGCTGCCTTCCCCTCCTGGAGCAGGGTCTGAAATCCCAGAATCCCAGAGTGGTTTGGGTTGGAAGGGAAGAGCAAGGTCCAAAACCCCAGAGTGTTTAGGTTGGAAGGGAGGAGCAGGGTTTGACATCCCAGGATGGTTTGGGTTGGAAGGGAGGAGCAGGGTTTGATATCCCAGGATGGGTTGGGTTGGAGGGAGGAGCAGGGTTTGATATCCCAGGATGGGTTGGGTTGGAAGAGCAGGGTTTGATACCCCAGGATGGTTTGGGTTGGAAGAGCAGGGTTTGATATCCCAGGATGGTTTGGGTTGGAAGAGCAGGGTTTGATATCCCAGGATGGTTTGGGTTGGAAGAGCAGGGTTTGATACCCCAGGATGGGTTGGGCTGGGGGAGCCCTTTAAAACTCACCTCATTCCCAGCCCATACCATGGACACCTTCCTGGCTCCCAGGGAGAACTGGAATGGAAGAGTTCCAGTCCATTCCCAGGAAATTCCGCAGCACTTCTCCAGCAGAACTTCAGCTGATGTTGCTGCTGTCACATGAAAAACAGTTTGAACTTTATTTTGCCTCTTAGAACAATCGGTCCCTTCAACCTGGCAAAGGAAACAGAGCCAGGGGGAGATGGGAAGGAAGGGATGTGGGAGCTGGGAGAAAGGGAAGACAGCATTAATTACACACAGCCTGACAGGTGGAGGAGAAAATTCTACACTGCTCAGAAGGTAAAGAATTAAGAGATGATGGAAAGCGGGGAAAAGTGGTAATTTCTTTGAGCAGTTTAAAGAGTTTACCAACCTCTTACAGGAGCTCTGTGTGTCAGAAAGAGATGGAAAGCAATCCAGGACAAGAGGGAAATCTAGAAAATGCACAGAAGTGGAATTCAGGAGAACTGGAACAGATAAAAGGGAAAAAATAAGAGTGTGAAGGGAACTTGAAACTATCTTAGATGTCAAATTCAGCTGGAAATGCTTGAGAACCCAAGGAAAAGATCCCCACAGCTGGGGATACTTTGGGTCTCAGCTGTCAGGGAGGGATGAAGCACAAAAAGCACCTGTGACAACTTCAACCCAGTGTTTGCATTTAGAAATCCAACAGGCACAAACCAATGTTTGTTTGTGGGAAAGGGATGATGTAAAAATGTCCTGAGCTGGCAGAATATGAAGCCAAAAAATACTTTTCATTCCAAAATATAAAGAAAGAAAGCTAAAATTCAATCTTGATAGAGATCAAAGCACTTTGAAATGCCCAGCAAATGGAAGCTATTGCTCGCAGGAAAAGCAGCAATAAAGACCCAAAACCACTCACCTCAATTTGGGGAAGGAAAGTTTCTGAAGTGTTTTGCAGGACAGGAAAACCATTTCACTCAGATGCTCCTGAGGGGAGCCAGGAGAAAATGGGATATTCAATTTACAGCAGCAAGGAAAGAGCACATTGTGATGTTACCTTTGGCTGGGAGGGACAGAAATGGAAGCAGGGCCAGATTCAGAGGGGCAGCTCCCACTTCTTACAGGAGACACAGAAGGAGCTTCGTGAAGTCCCTCCTGCCATTCAAAACCTTCTGCATCAATAGTGAAATGTCCAGGCCCAAGAGAAAGGTGTGGAATGTGAAATGTGGTAAATGAAAACCTCCCACAGGGAGTGAGCAGGGAATTCCAGAATGGTTTGGGTGGGAAGGGACCTTAAATCCCCCCCAGTGCCCCCCTGCCATGGCAGGGACACCTCCCCCTGTCCCAGTGTCCAGCCCCAATGTCCAGCCTGGCCTTGGGCACTGCCAGGGATCCAGGGGCAGCCCCAGCTGCTCTGGGTAACCTCATTTGCCCACAATTTTGTCTAAAACCCCCATTTAGGCTGCATTTGTCCCAAGCTGGAGAGGCAGTGCTGAAAGGCTTCACTGTGAGGAGTGAAATGAATTCACACAAACATCCATCACGGAGATGGAGAGAGAGTTACCACTGGTATTTCAGGAAAGGGAACTGCTAAGTGACTCAGGGTGGAGAAGGGCTATAAAAAGCAATCAAAAAGATTGTGCAAGGATCCCTGGATAGTTTAAAACAAATATTTTAACTCCGCTCTATTTTGGAAGTGTCTTAAAATAATGTGAGTGTGGATATTTTTATGGTGAAAGCAATGGCACATCCTGCTAATCCAAGTTATTTGTATGCAGACAGAATGCCAATCTTGTGCATTATGGATTTGGGAATGTCCTTCCAGCCCTGGTTTATTTAACTCCTTCTGTTCTCCCTAAAGAAGATCCAGAACACATCCACTGTGCGTTGCTCCCAGAGTTTTTCCTGCCTTGCAGTCACACCGTGCCAGGAATATTCAGTGTCTCCCATGGTGGATAAAGAGCATTACCAGCATTTAAGAACTCCACATCTACAAGGAGCCACTTGGAGAAGCTCTAAATAAAGCAGAAAAACTCTGGAAAAAGCTGGAATTTGGGCAAATTCCAGCACAAGGCAATTATATAGCAGCTGCAAAAGGAGCAGAGGGGGAGCACGAATGGCAGCAGCAAAGAAAGGGGAAGAATTTACTCCCAGGGATGGTGATCCCAGCACATCAGTGCTCCTGACCAAATCTCCTCTTGGCCTCCCAGCTCCTGCTCCTCTCTCCTGTCTCCCTCCTGTATCCAGGGATTCTGTAGGCCTGACGTGCTCCAGGTGAGAGACAGGAAAGTTCTTGCTGCTCTCCAGACTTCTCCTGGATGAGCAGCACTTTGGGCATTACAAAAGGGATCATAGAGATGGTGAAAGAGGGGGAATGAAATACAGCTTGGAAATTGGATAAAGGAACCTTATTTTCCTTGCTTTACCTAGGGAGGAAAAAAAATAAGTAAAGTTTTAGGCAGAGGGAAAGGAAAGTGAATGAGCATTGTGAATAATTAAAAAAATTTAAATTAAAATTAAAAGCAGGATGTGGTTGGAACAAGTCATACAAACCAGCAGGAGAACAGAAGGATTGAACTGTGTTTCTTCCCTGCAAGGGCTCTCCAGGCTGCCCAGGGCAGTCCCCATCCCTGGGGGGTTCATAGGTTGTGGATGTGGCCCTTGGGGCAGGGGTGGGGGAACAATAATCCCAGAGGGCTTGTCCAACCTGAATGATCCTCAGATACAGGATATCTTGATTTCATTTGATAGAGGATATTTTGATTTCTTTCTTTGTTTGCATAAGATCAATCCTAGATGGACATAAAGAAGGAACAATTTAATTCTTTTTTTCCCCCTGGTTGATATGAAGAGATGACACTGAGAGAGAAAAATCCCATCCAAGTCAGTTCCTAGGGAAGACCATTCCATCAAGTGGAGCTGATTTTTCCATGTGAGTGAAGGTTCAGAGGAACCTGCACCTCAGTACTTACCCAACTTGTATTTAAGCAGCACAACATATTCAGCCCTGCCATTAGAATATTGAATAAAACATTCCTAAAAGGAAAAGCTTTGTGAAAACATCTCCTTTTGCTCTCAGGTGCCATCAGAGGTGAATGACGGGGCTGTGTTTGGCTGTTCCAGCCTTAACAGCTGAAACAAAGAGCGACTGCAAAGAAATCCATGGAAAAATGTCCCATTTGGCCACACATGACTTGAATTCCATGAATGGATCTGTCTCCTGCAGCAGGCACGGGGCGATCAGCCTTACATAAACGCCCTACATCATCCCAGTACTCACTTTCTGATCTTCCAAATCCAACAGAATTATTTATAGCCTGGCATGAAATATTCATGGAAAAGTGTCCATTGCCTGAAATTTCTGCTAAAGAGTAATTTAACTTGGGTTTTTGCATTTCTTGCTATCAGAATAATTTAGGTCAGGCAAGTGGCAACAATATCATTTGCCTACAAACCCCTTGTGATGAACATGACAAAGCTTTTAGGTTTGGAGTAGGTATTTTGTAAAACCCTCGGTGAACAATGGGCCCAGCCCAGCTCAAGTCAATTATTAGCCCAATATTTCCAGTTATTTCAGCCTGGTGAAGCCCTGGGAGCATTTTTAATTACCACAGCTGATTCTGCCTGTATCCAAAGCTCTGTTACCCCGAGTCAGATCAGGCACAGCAAATCTGCATTTCCTGGGGCCAGGAACAAACCAAACCAGCCCTGCCACATCCCCTCCCAGGGCCTGCAGCAAAATCCTCTTCTGGTTTGGAACTCCTAAAATAACGACTCCAAAGGCACAGGAGCAGTGCCACTCCTGCTTTGGGGCTGAATGCAGTGAAAATTGGTGCTGGAACCTCAAGGGCTGTTGAGCAGGGGCCAAATGACATCATCTTTGTGCTGACGTATTTCACATTAGCATTGAATAAATCTCCTGGCTAAATAAATATTCCTCCCCCCACCACCTTCAATATTTTATAGATTTTTATTTTTTTTTTTATTAATATGCTCATCTTTACCTGCAGATAATAAATATGCAAAAAACCTGAAGCAATAGATGGGGGGAAACATTAAAGTGCAATACAATAAATATATATATATGTGTCAATGAAAGCTGCATATCCATAAATATATTTATGTGTGTCTTACAAGGAACTATTATTTCCACAGGCTTTGAACTGCCATTTTCCCTCGAAGGAGTTGAGATTTTATGGCCAGCAGATGTCATAAAAACATCTCCATTGCCACAGGAGCTGCTCCCACCCCTCCCTGCAGGCTGTGCCCTGGGCAGGGAGAGTTCTGCAGGGGGTGGATGTCACTGGCTGGGAAGGGAATGGAATTGGCTCCAAGGGTGGGGAGCTGTCCAGCCCCTCGGTGTCCCCATGAGAGCCCCTCGGTGTCCCCATGAGAGCCCCCAGTGTCACAGCTGAGCTGGCACTGTTCCCTCCCTGCTGGGCTTTGTGGGGCTGGTTCTGCCCCAGCCCCTTCCCCAGCCCTGGGATCTGCCCCAGGCCCCAGGCCACGCTGCCCCTGCTTGTCCTGCTCTGCTCCCTCCCTGCTGGACAGGCAGCGGGGCTCAGGGTCATGCAGGATCATCATTCAGGATCATTCAGGGTCATTCAGGGTCATCCAGGATCATTCAGGGTCATTCAGGATTGTTCAGGGTCATTCAGGATTGTTCAGGGTCATCCAGGATCATCCAGGATCATTCAGGATTGTTCAGGGTCATTCAGGGTCGTTCAGGATCATTCAGGGTCATTCAGGATTATCCAGGATCATCATTCAGGGTCATCCAGGATCATTCAGGATTGTTCAGGGTCATCCAGGATCATTCAGGATCATCCAGGATCATTCAGGATTGTTCAGGGTCATTCAGGGTCATTCAGGGTAGTTCAGGATCATTCAGGGTCATCCAGGATTGTTCAGGATCATTCAGGATCATCCAGGATTGTTCAGGATCATTCAGGGTAGTTCAGGATCATTCAGGGTCAGCCAGGATTGTTCAGGGTCATCCAGGATTGTTCAGGATCATCCAGAATCATTCAGAATCATCCAGGGTCATTCAGTATCATTCAGGATCATTTGAGATTATAATTCAGGGTCATTCAACATAATCCAGAGTCATTCAGGATCATTCAGAGTCATTCAGGATCATCCAAGATCATTCAGGATCATTCAGGATCATCATCCAGGACCATCCAGGATCCAGCCCCACCCTGAGATCCCCCCATTCCCACCTCCCCACCCAGCCAGGAGCCTCATCCTGACAGGAGCTCTGCCTGATCCCAACACAGCCAGCTCAGCTCCTCTCTTGGATTAGATCTGCCAGGAAAGCAAGAGAGTGCCCCTGTTCTTGTGTTTCACTTCACAGACACCAAAATATTGTAAAAAATCATCTAAAAAAAACCCTAACCAACAACAAATCACCAAATACTATTAAAACCTACATGTAAGAATTTTAAGAGGGTTTTCATGTGATAAATTTAAGTATCTAAACAACTCCTGTATCTAGAAAAACACATGACAAATA